GCGTTCCGTCTGTACTGGCGACCTCAGTCAAGATTCTCCCATACAGACCTCCCGCTTGGTTAATAAGAACTAATTATATACCACCCAGATACCAACAAATTAGTTTATTCCTTTTAATATACCAAAAAATGATCAGAAATTAAACTCTCCATGCACAATTTTGCCTCATCTGCTTCTTGTGAGCAAATACTACTTGCTATTCACTTCCAAAACAAGCCAATCAGCACACACAAAAAGCACTATTCACTTGACAATGAGTGGTATGTATTAGTTATATATATATATAAAATTATATATATATATAACGTGTGATAGGCAGAAAAAAATCAACTACATTTCATCCCTACAGACCTGTTTCGTGGATTGCCCACTCATAAAATGCCCTGATAAGTGGGCAACCACAAAACAGGTCTGTAGGGATGAAATGTAGTTGATTTTTTCTGCCTATCACACGTTATACTCGCTCTACTATATGTATTCAGCACTGTTTCACAGATATCAAGTTTAACTCTTTTATATACATATATATATTATATTATATATTACATATATATATATATATATATATATATTATTTGGTATAATTTCAGAGTTGAGCAAAGAGTTTCCAGCAATCTGATTGGTCGAGCGGTTCCTTATACGATGCTATATAAACTGCTCCACGTGGTTTAAAATGTTAAAATAGTGTTAATAAATGTTACTAAAATGTTATGATTTTAGAAATTTCTCTGTTGTTCAGCTCTGAAATTATACTAAAACAATTATTCACCTCAGGTTCACTGAATATTGTCAAATAATCCCCTCAAATTCGTATCGAGGATTATTCGACGATATCCACCTCGCCTTCGGCAAATAATTGTTAAATATAACTAGTTAATGGAGCAACTACATAATAAAAGACCACTGAGATCCGCCTTGTCAGCATCCTTTGAAGATCAACACAAAAGGGATGTACTGTAATTCAATGAGAAGTAAATAAGAGGCCCCGTATTCCATAGTTTTGCCAAGTTATTGACTTCAATTGAGTGTTCAGGTGGGGCTGTTTCTGTGTTATCAATAAAGACTTGAAACATAAAATTTTGTGACAATTAAAGTAACAAGAGCTCACACAAAGATTAAGTAGAAAAAGATATGAAACATATGGGGAAAACTATCCTGCAAATTCATTCTTACTAAAGGGTTTTGTCAATTATTGTTTTAATTCAAAGCAAGACAACCTTCTTCCCACATGAAGATGTAATTTTGCACAAAATGTCCTCATCCTGTTTATGGTCTGACTACTAAAGTTTCATTTCTAAGCTCTAGCGATCACTTTTTGATTTTAGGTCTTTAGAGCTAGTAGCCCTGCCTTAGACATAAACTCAACTCAAAATCAAGATAAAGAAAGACATTCAAAACAAATCTTACGCATATTTATAATACACCCTGGTCATGTGTCCAAATCTCTCATGGCCAGCAACATCCCTGAAGACATGATAATAATGTCAAATTAAAGGTACCAGCAAAATGCCAACATGTTACCATTAACACAAACAAATTATACCAAAGAATCTACCAGTGAGTTTATAAAGCTTAATTGTTCTCAAAGTTTCATTGTTTTGAGTGTCAAGTAGACCTTTTTCTGACCCTGTTGATGCCAAAGCATTCAGGTAATTAAATTTGTTCATGTAATGCCTCTAGAGGCAAATCAGAAGCTTGTCACTCATAGTCAGTGGGTTAAACTCTCCTGAAATTTAGCTTTATTTCTTTATGCTGGATTTTTCTTTTCTCGGTTAAGGATAACTGGGGTAACATTGATTATCAATAACTTGTTTTCTCCATAAATGCCATCTACTTACCAAAGCTGTAGATTAATTTTTGTCTTTTCATCCCAGTAGAGGACTTTCAAAGCAAAATCAACTCCTATTGTAAGCTTATAATTTGGTGAGAAGGACCCTGGTATAAAAAGTAGACATGGGTAAGTTCAAATGCAAGTAAAACACATTTAACCTCAAAGATATCACCAAGTTATACAATAAATTTAACAATAGCCCATTTCCGAATTACCCTTGGCCTCATTTTCAAAACGAGTTCTGGTGCTCATCCTTTCATATGATAAAAAGTTTTCATTCACATGCAAATTAAACTCATTTTCACAAGATTGTTTGAGCACCAGGCCTCGTTTTGAAAATGAGGCCAAGGGTAATTCGGAAATGGGCTATTGGGTTCCACATTGTCATATGTCTGTCCAGATCAGGGAAGACGTCAAAATGCAGTAAGAATAAATAAAGTAAAATGTTGTTGACAGCGAGTAGTCATCCGTACATCTATCTTCCAATATCATACGATAAGCTTCCTTCAGTAAGGATTTTGCTTTGTTTTTACTATGACCTATTGGAGGATTGCAGGATAGATATCGTTTTTACAGCATTTTGCTTTTTTTAACACATGAAACATGCAACTTGCCATAGGTGTGTACATTTAACAATTATTCGCCGAAGGCGAGGTGAATATCGTCAAATAATCCCCTCGACTTCGTCTCGGGGATTATTCAACAATATTCACCGAACCTGAGGCGAATAATTGTTTTAGTATAATTTCAGAGCTGAACAACAGAGAAATCTCTAAAATCATAACATTTTAGTAACATTTATTAACATTTTAGTTGAACGTTCTATATAAACCACGCGGAGCGGTTTATATAGCGTCATATAAGGAACCGCTTGACCAATCAGATTGCTGGAAACTCTTTGCTCAGCTCTGAAATTATACTAATAACAGATAACAGAAGACATCAAAATGTAACTGCTCCTTGTGAGCCACTATATTGTTCTTGATGGCAACATGTAATCTATTTGTAGATCATGTGTTGTTGAATTGCTTTTCGCCTCAGTTTGTCAATTATTAGTTAAACAAGTCGAGGTCTGTGGGGTTGACAACGTCAATTCATCAACAGTGTGATAATCACTACTATTGAAATAATTGTTAATTAATAATTATCAATAAATTATGAACCAATTTATCAGAAATCATGAGATTACAAGAGAAATTTAATATCACCAGATACCTTTTCATCGTTTGATTTTCAAATCAAGAGAAAGTTAGCAGGAATAACTTATTAATACGACACATTTATATGCACAATGAATTAGAAAGCAATAAAAAGTCTTGTTTTTTTTTTTTTTCCGAGGGTTGCCGGTTTACCGGAAGAATTGCAACTAAAAAACACACACTTAAAACGGAAATAATAATTACTAAAAATGCAAATTACTTAATCGATAATTCAAAGAATATTTTACTGATATCATTAAAGCAACTCTATGGTGTGGAGCGGGAAATCACGAGTTAGGAAAATTGACTCCATGGTCAGGCGAAGACAGATGCATGTGACCTTAATATCTCGTGACAAACAAGCCACATTCGATTCCTACCAACCTTCTGTGTATCTCCGGATAATTGACGTCTTTGGTGATAAAACATGAGAGAAACAAAAGCATCAACATTTAAGAACAATATCGAAAGTGAGCAAAAATCACAGCAGACGGAAGTCTCCAAGAGCCAAGTGACCATCATCCTCGCTTACCTTCCCTGAAAAAAGACAGAGAAAATAACAATCAACAGATGATATTTAAAGTTAGGATCATCGTTAAAAGACCTACCAACTCCATATTCCCCAATAACAAGTACTTTATACAAGTGTTCTTTGGCGTCCATACTAATTTACATTTTCCTCAGCAGAAGTGAGCCGGGACTGGTTCCTAAGTCATCAACAGTCGCTTTCCCCAGTGGTGGCCCCACAGTCTATGTGCTGCCATAAATAAATAAATAAATAAATAAAGTATCATGAAGTATAAATAAAGGTATTTGTATAGATTCGTACATTGTATAGGCGAGAGAACAATAGGACACATAGTCCCCTGCTAGGCTCACCCACCTAAACCAACCCCAACCCACCCATCCCACCCCAGGGGAGGACATCCATCACACACCTACCCCTAACCGTGCAGTAGACGGGACCTAGAATATCGAACCATTTCTTAAGGTTATAGAAAGGTAGCATATTCTTCTCAATTATTTTAAAACCTGGTCTGGCGGGGGCTCGAACTGTCGACCTCCCGCAAAACAGTCCAGCGGTCTATCCACTGAGCTAACTAGGAGGCTGTAAAAGAGGTAAAAAGAGAGGTAAAACTGTCATCTTAACAGGACAATTAACTCAAATACTTAGGGACATTTTTCTAACGTTGATTTATTGAATTACTCTACCATCCAAACGTAAGAACAAGCTAAGAACGTTTTAAGACTCAAATCGCATTAAAAAAAAAAATGAGAACATTCACCTTCAGCCCCAAAATTATGTTGAAAAAAAAAAAAAAAAAAAAAAAAGAGTGTATTCGTGTTTGCGGTTTCGGAGGTGGCTGTCAATGCTATTCAATTTGCCGCTTTAATCTTGTCGGACCATCCCTTTCGACATGGTCAGCGGCAGATTTTAATTGCATTACTGCCAATTTATTTTTTGTTACGAATTACAGTCAAGGGGGGGACATATGGCCCGATAAATACCAAAAATCATGTACTTCAGTATTTAATCTTAAAATGGTAATCTCAACAATTTTCCAGCGTTTTGTCAGAACAAACGAGCATTCCATTTTGCTAATTTCCGGAGTACTCATCAATCAAGATCGAGAGCGGGTATTCTTGACTAGTCTTAAAACAACATGATTTTTCATTAAAATTTTAACTCGTCATGTATGCAAATCCAGCTGTTTAACGGTGCGAATAAATAATTACGTGTTACGCTTGCACGAGTAAACTCCTGTAGTTTGTTCTTCAGTTCTTCCATGACGTTCTAGCGTAAATAGGTAAGTCTGATTGTGTTGTGCAAACTTTGAAAAGCAATACTACATATTAGAACAAAAATATTATGCGTAGACCAAGGTTAAATGTTATGTTACAGATTCGTTGGGTAAGCTTGGGCACCAACTATCATACAAAGTGTTGCAAACGTTGCTTTCTTTACGTAACATTTCCTACGCAGTTCGTGTTCTGAGCCAATTTGTTTTAACCTTCTTAAGAACTGACGCACTAAACCGGCGTGTGCATATTCACAGTGAACTTTGCACCCACTTCAAGACTTTTATTTGTTGAGGAAGAAAATAATACGATAGATCACAACAATTTAGTATCATGTTGTTCGAAAGCCAGTTGATATGCGACTTTTTCATCGTCACAAACAATATTGGATTTGATTTATTTCGGCTTGGTGGAAGGAAATGCATGAATGAAAAATTCATTTAAAACAAGCTGATCAGAGGCATGTCTTCAAAAGTTCCTAACAATAGCCTATAATGTATTTTCAGGATTTTCATATCTACAAGAAGTTGACGACAAAGAATTGCTACGCTCGCCTCCGCTGATTCATTTTCAAATATAAAACTAAAGAGAAACAAGGACTCCGAAAGATAAATAATTTGAGAAAAAATTATTACCTTAAAGACCTACTATCTAGTTAATTTCTATGAAATTTAAGCTCTCGCGATAACGAAATTATTAAATGTAAATACTGTAGAAATTCGACACCAATTACGTAATCGCAAAATTACTACTTCTGTTGCAAGTTTCGAAAAGAATTGTAACAAATCTTAATAACGATACAAGCTCATAAAAGATAATCACTAACTGCGAGTATACAATCCTCCTTTCTGCAAAACAGCTTTAAAAGTAATCGAGAACGCGTTTTGGTGTGAATACGTTCTGTATGGTGGAGCAAGAAACTGCCTATTAAGCAGATCGAGTCACGGCGAGAAATTTAATAAGTGGACGTCTTGCATGGCAGCTGTATCGACAAACGTTTGTACTATCAGAAAACTGGTGAGTTCTATTCTATTAGAACATAAGATAATAGCTAGCTGTTGTCCATGTCAGTTCAGTGGACACGAAAGAAAAACGCGACCGAAAAAAAGCGCGTTTCAGTTGTCGAAAGGGAACCCATTAATCACGCTACCACGAAGAAAATCGATATTCCCAAGCCGGTTTGCATTATTGTAGACGTTCGTCGATAGGATTTTTTATCCTGTTTGTAAGCATGTTGCTTCGGTGGCGAGAAGTAATCACAAAGATAAGCTCTTGGTCTGATCTTAGCTTTTGCTTTTGCTCTGCAGTTTGTTTTCTGTTTCAATTTGTCTGTTTGATTGCTTCATTAGTTCATTTGCGTGTGTTTTTTTGTCACTTTATTACCTTGTCTGTTGGTTTCACCTGAGCCGGTTTTTTGGTTATTTTTTTTGTTTGTTTGTTAGGCATCTGTTTTTTTATCCACAGTCTGTCAGTTGATGGTTTGATTCGCTGGATCGTTGGCATGGTTTTAGTTTGTTGGTCAGATTTTATCAACTCATCTGCTATATGCATGAGTGATAGTGGCTGAAGCTAAACATATCTTTCAAGCACATGTTTTGTATGATTCCTTTTCAGCTTACAGAATGAAGAAATCAATTATGATAATTTTTCAAGTTGTGATTATTTTGACTGCCTTTAGTTCTTTTATAGCAGGTAAGTAATAATGTTATGCTTCGTTTCCGGGCTGCCTATAATTGTGACCGTTAAAGCCAAGTAATTTTTATGATAATCACTGGCAACCTCTGTTTAGAAAGTTGCAGAGCTACTGAATTCCAATTCCCCAGTACACTGGTTTTGATTTCCTTTCTCTCTTTAATTGGTCCAAAATAAAAACAATCTCGCGCAACCCTCGACAAAAGTGAAGCCGGCAACTGCGACTGACAACCGTGTTTTCTCATACTTCGGTTAATTGGCTTGCTTTTCGAGATTCTGACCTCTTTGGGTTATCCATGAGATGTTTTCTTCGTTCTGCATGATAAGACAATCGATCGAAAGCGCTGCACACCTCTGACTCAATCCCAAGACAACGCATTAGTGGCTTCCGCGGGTTTTAATACACTATGGGAAAGTCATGGTAACAAAAAGCATCGTCAATTTTTCGTTAGAATCGAGACGCCGACCTGATTAAAATCTGCTCTTTAGAGAGGGAGGGCAACCAAAATGTCCACCTTTCACTGTAGTAAGGGCTCGGATACGAGTCAGTGTAGAAGATTGATGCTTACGTGAAAGGCGACAAAACTCGATCCTTTTCAACTCCTTTTAACCTTTGTAACTTAAGTGAAAACGAGTGTATTAAAAGTGAAAGACTAGATATCTTTCCTTCTTTATTAGGTTGATTTTGACTACAAATTCTTTTTTTTCCTCTCTCAAAGCACAATCCACGTCTCTAAGCCCAACGTCAACATTTCAACATACATTTGCTGTTTCAAATCAGACAGCTATGCCCAATGCTTCAATAATGACAACACATCAACATCAAATGACGTCCGTTCAGCCTTCATCAACAGAAATCAGTAGTCCAAACAGCATATCAACCACTGCTTCACCCAGCTCCACAGCAAGTAAGTATATAGATTCTAAATCTAAAAAAAGTGTCACACAGGAAACACTACAGCCACAAAGCAAGTATAATGATGACAGTTAAATCATATTAAGCAACAAATACCAACATATTGTTCTACGCAGCAAAAACTAGGGGGTGGGGGATCTGTGTTTTTGTGATTACTTTCAAAGGAACTGCTAGGGGCTTTTAAGACACGTGACCTCCACCCTTACCCTTTACCTCCCCTCCTTCCCGGCGTCCTTAAGGAGCTTGTATAACTGCCTCGACTTGCCCAAATCTATCTGTTTTAAGAATATTCCAATCTTTCCAATCAACTTTCTTTCAGAGCTAGGCTCACCTCGAGTTCCATTTCTAAGTTTTCCTACGAATTGAAGTGGTTCTCGCTTAGTTCAGCTACTTTTTCAACAAATAACCTTAAAATTCTAGTTTTACCTTACCAAGCAGTCACTGATTGGTCCGAAAATCTCGCACCACCTCAACCAATCAGACGAAATGCTTACATTAACCACACTTTGTTCCTGTTTCCCGCACTATAAGACATTAACGCATATCTATAATGGGCTGTCATTGGCTCTCTCTGGCTCTCTCTCTCTCCCTTGTTCTGATTGGCTGTTGAGATCACTTAGAGTTTGGTTTCATAACACAAGATCTAACTGCTCTTAAACTGCAATTTTTGTATCATTTTTATCAAACAGAAGTCGATGACGACGACAAAATAGAAGAGGATGAGGATAAAAAGAAAAAGACAGCGATAATAGCAGCCAGCTGTGGGGGCGCAGCAGTGTTGTTTATTGGTTTAGCCCTTGTAATATGGAATCACAGAAAAGAGGGCGACACAACAAAATAAAGGACAATAGCAGCTTGGGATGTTCTGATTAGCGATTAGCAATATAGAAGAGTAGTTTTCCTCATCAATAGTTGAACTTAAAGCTCAGCAAAATAGTTGCCTGAGGCAAAACAAATCTCCCGTCAAAACGCAATATTCCAAACACGAACTGGGTGCTTTCCGGAAAATCTTGATAGCAGTGGTTTTAATGCTCGATTTTTTTTTTTTTTGTGAATAACGTAGTTTAGGCTAATACCAGTTCCCACATGAAAAGGAAGAAAAACATCTTTTTTTTGTAGCATTCGAAAACTGTGATGTTACATACGGGACTGTAGCTACCCATAAATCGACAGACTTTCAAGTAAAACTGCTGGGCTGGCATATTTTTGTCAACTGCTCTCAGCGACCTTTAAAATGTGTTAGGAGGGTAAAACTACTTAACTCGTTTCTAAATATAATGAATATTTCCAATTTGTTTTCATTATGCATCAATCCACAATCATCATCAATTAGTTGACACACAATTATTTTGAAGACTTCTTTTCATGTGCAGAATAACATTCCTGTTTCTACCGCAGTCTATATCATTTTGAAGAGGTAAATATTTTGAAATAACCAGGGGGCAAATGTGTTAACTTGACACGGGCAAAATTGATAAAATTGAAGTAATAGGGGGTTGAAAAGGTCCAAGTGTCAACAATTTTGTCACTGATTGTAGGTTAATAAAATTTGGCTTGAAACTATAATAAGATAAATGTTGACACTCAATTAAATATGTGCTATAATTATACCTGCTTATCAATAGCCCATTTCCTAATTACCCTTGG